GGGCGGTCCGAACTTAGAGTGCCGGATGTACGAAGCCAAGTACCCGGAAGTGGACCAAGCCGTGATGATACAGGTTAAGAGCATGGCCGACAGCGGCGCGTACGTCTCACTCCTGGAATACAACAACATCGAGGGAATGATCCTCTTCTCCGAGCTCTCTCGCCGCCGGATACGGAGCATCAGCAGCTTAATCAAGGTCGGCCGGATCGAGCCCGTCATGGTCCTTCGTGTCGACAAGGAGAAGGGGTACATCGATCTCAGCAAGCGGAGAGTCTCCGAGGAGGACATTCAGGCCTGTGAAGAGAGGTACAACAAGAGCAAGCTCGTCCATTCTATCATGCGCCACGTTGCCGAGACCATGAATATCGATCTCGAGGTCAGCTAATTTCTAGGATTACCTTTTTTTTTTTTTTTTTTTTTTTTTTTTTTTTGAAATGTTGATTGGACGCTGGTGGTGTGGTGACTTACCTAGTTTTTCCAGCCGTAATTTGAGTTTCCTGGGCTTTGATAGTGATTGAAATGTGAAGGAACTTAAATCGAATATGTGTAATTATTTGATATTTTATTGCCTTCTTATTTGGAGATTTAAATTATGTAGTGTAAATGTTGCTTGAATGCAAATATTGAAGCATTGCTAGTATCTTTGTTGAAACAATCCCAAACCTTGTTAGAGTTCATTAACTTGGTAGGCTATGGTTTCTATGTAGTGTACATTTTGCATTTTAAGCTAGAAGGTTAGAAATGGGATTGGATTGGGTGTCGATTCCTGTAAGTAATTAGTGATCTGCAAGTAATTGTAGTGGTAATTACTTCTGTAGGTAGAACAATTAGATAGTTTAGTGACTTGGTCCAACAAAGAAACTCTCACATCCTTTCTGGATACATTGCAAGTTCCCACTTAGAAGTTCTCTAGCTTGTAATATTATAGGCATCATTTTTATTGCAGTGTTTAAAAGTTAAGACTACTGGCTCCTAGGTTTTGATGTACATTTAGTCAATTACAGGCAACTTAGCTTTGTCAGACATAACTTGATTCTCAGCTGAGGAAGCTCATCCTTTTGCTGGGCAGGGGTCAGGGTTTTTGAACAGTTTGCATAACAGACAGGCTTGTTTGGCTTTTACCTTTTTTGTTATTTTTCATTTCTGTTTGCGGATGGAGACTGGTTTGTGGGATGTCAAATTATATAATGATTTCGAAGCACTCTTAATAAGTATTAAGCTCTATTGATTGATGTGTGTGAAATTTGGCCTGATACATTTCTGACTCAGTTGAATACAATTGCTGCTCCTTGTGCATTATCTAGTTCTGAGGCCTGTATTGTAACCTTCAAATCTTCAATATGTCATTGATTTTGCTCAAGCCTTTCTGATTTCTGAATGTTGTATGCTTGCATAAATTCATTTCTGCATTTGCATCTTACACCAATTAAACTAATTAATGCAGGATCTTTACATTCATGTTGGTTGGCCTCTATACAGAAAATATGGACATGCTTTTGAGGTTAGAATTTGCTTTAATTTCCAAAAGCACTCTTTTCTATGTTTTGGTTAACAAAGGTTTGTCACTTATATACTTCTCTATTGGCTCCCAGGCATTCAAACTAGTTGTTAATGATCCAGATTCTGTTCTTAATTCCCTCACTCGTGAAGTTAAAGAAGTTGGTCCTGATGGTCAGGAGGTAATCTTGGCTTTTGTTATGCTCATATTTCTACCTTTTTCCATTGATTGAAAATGACATCCAAGTGCTCTTTGTAGGTAACTAAAGTGGTTCCTGCACTAACAGAAGATGTTAAAGATTCTTTGGTAAAAAATATTAGGAGAAGAATGACCCCACAGCCTTTGAAGATTCGCGCAGATATTGAGATGAAATGTTTTCAGTTTGATGGTGTTCTTCACATTAAGGTTTTACTGTTTGTCTGTTTGTATTCCTGTTGCCATGCGATTATCTTTTGACTTTAACCAAATGTTTTAGATTTCCAAAATCAATGCATGGTGTCATTTGAACAAGTATGGAACGCTTATTACATATTTTTCAATACAGGATGCAATGCGGAAAGCTGAAGCTGCTGGTAATAAGGATTGCCCAGTTAAAATTAAACTTGTTGCTCCTCCAGCATATGTTCTTAACACTCAGACGCTTGATAAGGTACTCAGGTTTTATACTTAGTCATTGCTTGGCATACTACTTAGTTTATCATTTGAATGAATCTTTTATAATTTGAAGGGGAAATACAGAAATGGAGGAAAATTGTTCCTGACAACTATTTGGTTCAATAACCTGGCCTTGATTGGCTTTCCCAATACAAGTAGTTGCTGAAGACATAGCTTTATCATTTTTTTAGACTAGTCAAGGCAATAGATGTGTATATACATAACTATGCACCATGCTTCCTTATTTTAAAATATTGCTCTTTTACACTAGAGTCAATTCACCCAAGTACCGGTCACCTTTGTTTCCTTGTTTTCTGCAGCAGTTTGTCTTGCTGAAGAATGTTGCTTCCATATTTTAATCATACCCCTTAAACACTCACAGGGAAAAATCTTCAATGCCATCTACTCCCATTCCTCCTTTAAAAAAAAGGACAGTAGCATTTTGGTCATATCAACTGGGAAAAGAAGGAAAAAGTGGTGTGACAAAAATGTCCCTCTATTTCCTTTTTTAGCAAAAAGGCATGGGAGTAAGAGGCAATAGAGTTTTTTTCATACTGACGAAGTAGGGAATTTCTACAATGTATTTGCTTTTGGTGCCTTTTTCCAAAAATGGGAAGGGCAGGGGCATTTTGGTTACCAAAAAATGCCCCTCCCTTTCCATCTTTAGTGAAAGGCACCTAAGGATTGTAGAAAATTCCAATAATAACATTTATATATAGTGAAGTCAATCACTGGAGTACCTATGTTGCCTTGTATTCTGCAACAGTTTCTGTCTTGCTAAAAATGATTCCTCCCTTCTTTTTTAATCATACCCCTTCATTTATATACAAACACATACTATTCGCCTCTGTTGGTATATCAGGTTAATTTTTAAATTACTAATCATGAAATGATTTGTATCTACATTTTAAAGCCAGTTCATTCAAAATATATCTAATTTGGATTTACTGATGTTATATGTGCATTTGGTAGTTCTTTAGCTCCTACCAATGTCTAAGTATTTGAGTGCAAATTGTGTTTCATTTCTTTCTCCAGGAGCAAGGCATTGCAATCCTTGACAAAGCAATTGCTGCTTGCACCGAGGAAATAGAACGTCACAAGGGAAAACTCACTGTCAAGGAAGCGCCAAGAGCGGTGAGTAACTATCCTTTTCTGCTTTTTGTTGTCATTTTCACCATAATCATTTTACTGGCTTTAATCAGGGATTTTGAGATTGCTGTGGTTTAACATTTTGTTTGCTTTTGTCAATTGAATCTAATCCGATGTCTTCCCAATGGCAGGTGAGTGAAAGAGAGGATAAATTACTTGCTGAGCAAATGGCTAAGCTAGGACAAGCGAACGAGGAGGTCAGCGGTGATGAAGATAGCGAAGAGGAGGAAGATACGGGTATGGGAGAAATTGATGTAGAAAACACGGGACATGGTATAACAGAGTGAAGATGCTCTTCATATGCAAGCAAGCTCATGAGATGAACTTTTCATATTGATGCTGCTCTCTCCACACCCTCTACCCTTTTTTTCTTATCAAGCATTTGAGTGGGATGTATACAAACCAAAATCTTGAGTTTTACTAGGCTATTTTTGCTAATTAACAAAGCATGTTCACATTGAGTAGTTTTCCAAATTTCTTTTACTAAAATTATTGAACATTCTACCGCTGTTTGTATTTCTATTGTTGTTGGCAGCTTCATTGCGTTCCTTTACGGCTTCTTAGTTTGAACATATCTGCAGATGGTTGGTTCCAAGTTGGGATATCATTGGTTTCTTTTTGGTAGTAGGTAGAGATTGATTCTCGGACCTAATGTTAAGAGGCTTTTACTCTTGCTTAAGACTAACATCCTTGTGCTAGCTTAATTAGCTAAGGTTCTTCTTGTATGTGCACGACAATGACGACATGTTAGGTTTTTCTTCGATTAAGTGTCGAACTCTATAGGTGCGGTTCAGTCTTTATCTAATTTTTTTTCCGAGTAAGAGTGAGGATATCAAATATTATGTACAAATAATTATACTTGTTTTATATCATCAAAAGTGTAAATTTTTAGGGTAATTTTAGCCAAGTTGGCTAATGATATAAATTTGTAACCACACGAGTTCGAATTTTAGCCTTCTTGGTTTGATCCAATAAACTCTGGACAATCAGCCTTCTTGGTTTGATCCAATAAACTCTGGACAATCTAGGCTTGATTTACCTACTTATGATCCTCACAAGGCGGGTTTATTCTGTGCACATTCTTAATAGTGTCACTTCAAAAAAAAAAAAGTGTAATTTTTTCTATAATTTTAAAAATAATTAAATTTCAACAATTTCATGAAAGTAAAAGTTTGAATATTCATTATTTTATTTACAAAATAATTATTAATTATGCCGGAAATATCACATAATTTTGGAAGTAATGTTGACATTTTACAAAAATTAAATTGCCAAGCGTGGACTATAATTCACATTACAATGTAAATCATGATAAATATGTATTTTAGTATATTAAATTTTATTTTTAGATAATATGTTTAAAAATAAATTTACAGTATATTAAAAATAAAATTTTAAAAAAATAAATATTTAATATATTAAAAATAAATCTTCAATATATGAAAAATAAACATAATAAACATGTATATTAATGATTTGTGTGAAACATAAACCATAATATAATGATGGTACATTTTACTAACGGAAAGTAGGAATGCACTAATTTATTTATTTATTGAAAAAGGAACCCACTAATATTAGAAATGCATATATTAAAAAAAATTCCCAAGCGGGCCCCGCTGTGTTTCATTTTCTAACGACTTTTCAAATTTCTCCCAGATATCTCTCTCCCACTATCTCGTACAGTTACAGAGAGAGGCTAACAGCAAACCTACTCGCAGAGGCAAAGGCAGAGTGGGGAATGAGCTCAAAAAATCAGTTTTGATCCAGAAATGGCGGTTTCATCATCCACAGTTCGAGACCTCTTGAAAGAACGAAAGCTCCCTTTCATCTTCTCTCTCGCCCTCCTCCTGCTCCTCATCTTCACCTTCCTTCTCATCTCCGGCACCTCTCAGAAATACGCATTCTACATCGCCGAATCCGAAGCCGAACCCGAACCGGAATTCAATCTCAAGGGACAAACCTCGCTCTCTTACACTCCAAACCCTATCACTTCCAATTCCTCTTCCTCGTCACCTCCTTCAAAGTCGCGGCGATCGGGCGGTAGCGATGTGGTTCCGCATGTCGCCGATGATAGAGATGTGGAAACGGCGTCGATTAGGTGGAAGCGGTGTGACGGCCCGGTGGCGGTTGATTATATTCCGTGCCTTGATAATTGGAGGGCGATCAAGGCGTTAAGGTCCAGAAGGAACAAGCAGCATCGAGAGAGGCATTGTCCTCGCCCTCCTCTCACGTGTTTGGTTCCGCTTCCGACGGGTTATCGGATTCCGGTTCCGTGGCCCAAGAGCAGGGAAATGGTGAGATTGCTATCTTTTGGTGGTAAGATTTATTTTTCTTCTTCTTACTTTTTATTTTCTTAATACTGGTATGTAGAATATAATCAATAATCCTCTTTTTGAGCTGAAATTATGATCTCCAGTGAGAATCGTAGCTTAATTGTGTGATTCCCGAGCGAGCTCAAGTGGGAATCAATTCTAACCTCTTTATATGGATTCGTTACTGAACTCTCTCATATAAACTCATTGAACGATGATATCAGTTTTGTGTGTGTGGCATACAATAGCATTAGTAGTAGAATTATACTTATCTGGAGAATGTTTGTTATATGCATGTGGATGGATCTTTATGATTTGCTAATTTTCTGAAGATTGCTCTGTCTTATTGTTGTTCTTGTTCTGTTCATAGATATGGTATAACAATGTGCCTCATCCTAAGCTTGTTGATTACAAAAAGGACCAGAAGTGGGTGATCAAATCTGGGGATTATTTTGTATTCCCCGGCGGTGGTACACAATTCAAGGATGGGGCAAACCTCTATATAGAAGCTATAGAGAAGGTAGTATGCATACTTGTTCGGGTTAACCTCTTTCGAGGTCTTCCAAGTATAGTGATTTTGTCACATCCTAAACACTTCAAATTAATTATTCGTAATCTTTCAACTTTTAAATGTTAACTAACAGTGTTCCTTCCATTAGTTTTAACCGGGCAAAGTCATTCTTTCAAAAGGACCATAGTTAACATTTGAAAGTTGAAGGATCACGACTATCTAAAATTTAAAAGTTGAAGGACCATGAACGATTAACTTGAAAGTTTATGACTAAATGTTGCAAAAGCACTATACTCAGAGGACCAGATGACATTAACTCATACATATTCTATCTAGTCATATAATCACATCTACCCTGTTGATTTGTGATCTATGTTATTTTTCTGGCAAATTATGTTGTGGAACCCAGATGGACACGGTTTTAAAACTGTTCATAATTATAAATATATAGTTCAAAAATTATGAACATATAGTTCTATAATTATGAACATAGAGTTGTGAACATAATTATGAACATATAGTTCTATAATTATGAATATAGAGATTCAATAATTGTGAATATGAAGTTCAAAAATTATAAATATATAGCTTTATAATTATGAACATATAGTTCAGTAATTATGAACATAAAACTGTATCCACCTTGCAAGATGGACACGGTTCCACAGCATAATGATTGTATTTGCTCCTTTATGCATGTGTACTGATGGTCTGTAGTGTGGTGATCCAGACATTACCAGAAATTGAATGGGGAAAACACACAAGGGTGATCCTGGATGTTGGGTGTGGTGTTGCTAGCTTTGGTGGGTTTTTGCTGGACAAAAATGTTATTACTATGTCATTTGCACCCAAGGATGAGCACGACGCTCAAATACAGTTTGCACTTGAGCGTGGAATTCCTGCTACACTCTCGGTCATTGGAACCCAAAAGCTGCCATTTCCAGATAATGCTTATGATTTGATTCATTGCGCACGATGCAGGGTTCACTGGCATGCCAATGGTATATATAGTACTTCATCTAATTACAACGTAACCTTTCTTTCTATCCAATCTCACACAAAACATTTGGCTTATAAGTTATAACTAGGATATTTATTAATTGAACTGTAGGTGGAAAACCTTTGATAGAACTAAACAGAATTCTTCAGCCTGGAGGGTTTTTCATTTGGTCTGCCACTCCAGTCTATCAAAAAGGAGCAAGGGATAAGAAAGTCTGGAAAGGTTAGTTTGATTTCTGCAAACTTATGCTTGCATTTTCAGCATCATTTTTTGTCTTCTTTTAATAGATTGCCATTTGCCAAATTCTACATACAAACTTAAAAGTGAAAAAAGTCTCTAGTTTTTATTTAATATTTAATTCTGGACTTAGCTCTCTGACTATCACTCATTTTTAATTTTAGTCATTGAAGTTTAAAACTATCAAATTTAGTCCTTAAGTATTTAATCATTTTTTAATTGTAATCCATTATTAGCTTTTCTCGGTCGTTAATATTGAAGGTAAAATTGAAAAATCTTAACTATTATGCTAATTATTTCTCACACGCGGGAAACAAAGTCTTAATTTCCTTATTCTGGCTACCTTAATTTCACCCTCAATTTTAACGGTTCACTCAGAAAAAAGCTTATGGTGTATTACAATTGGAAAAGTACAATATTCTAAGACTAAATTTAATAGTTTTAAAAGTATGACTAAAATTAGAAATTAGTAATAGTCAGAGGATTATATCCATAATTAACTATTTACTTCTTTAGTTAATTTTGAAGTCATTCAGTGAGCCTGGTAACACATTGAAGATTTGTTTTCTCCTTTTTTTTTTTTTTTAAAAAAAATTAATTTATGCAGCAACGGAGGCTGTGACTAAATCATTGTGCTGGAAGGTAGTGAAGAAAACCTTTTTCAAGTGGGCCCACGTTGGGCTGATTATATATCAGAAACCTCTTACATCTTCCTGTTACGTGGGGCGTAGAGAGAAAAACCCACCTCTCTGTGATCAGGGCAGTAGGCCAAATAGCACATGGTATATGAAACACATTATCCCTTAGCTTCATCTGATCATCATTCAACTCTAATCATCATCATATCATTCATCTGATCTGATCTGTTCCAGGTATGCCCGTCTTGGCAACTGTCTTTCACAGCTTGTAACAAGGCCTGAAGAGTGGCCTAGAAGGCTCGTCAGCATACCTCCAAGCCTACCAGAAGACGCTGAGAGTGAAGAAGCTTTCTATGGGGACACAAGACACTGGGCTTCACTTGTCTCAGATGTTTACCTAGGAGGCCTTCAAATAAATTGGTCAAGCATTAGGAATGTAATGGATATGAATGCTGGCTATGGAGGGTAAGGGACAAATTTATATAGAGTAACTTATTATTATTATTTTTTTTGGGTCAGACCACGAGGTGTCCTGAGTAGGACCCTAACGGTAGGAGGCCCTGTAAGCCTGTATCATACTTAGACTAATCCCTGTTTGCATTGAGTCGGCTCAAAGAGACAAAGTGCTGGTCAGATTAGTTTTTATAACTTATATATAACTCTATGCTAATAGCGTTACCTAGCTATTTTGTGGTGATGATCACAGGTTTGCTGCAGCCCTAGTCGGGCAGCCTCTATGGGTAATGAATGTTGTTCCCATCAGCAGTCCAGATACTTTATCCATTATCTTCAACAGAGGATTGATTGGCATGTACCATGACTGGTGCGAGTCTTTCAATACCTATCCTCGCACATATGATCTTCTGCATGCCAGTTTCCTATTGGGAAAATTGATCCAAAGGTACATTTGATTATCTCGCTATTTCTCTTTTAGTGTATTGATATTTATATCTTACGAGGTAAAACTAAACCAGTCAGTTAAGTCTTGGTCAGTCTCTTTTGGGAGGAGCATTTTTAAGAGCATTACTATATAAACATGGGTCCAAACTTGACTCAATCTCATTCTGCTTGAACCAATACATTTTGGTCATTTCGCTATTTCAATTTAAGAACTCAGAGCTCCCGTTTGGTTGGAAGGAAGGATTTAGGGAGAAAAGAATTGTAATTTGGTGAAAAAAGAATAAAGTAGGAATTCAAATAACATTGTTTGGTAGGGAGAAATAGAATGATTGGGAATGAGAATGGAAAGAGTGATATAAAGACTAAAATGTCCTTGTGTAATAATAATAATTAATAATAATCAAAGACAATTTAGTCATTTTCTTGTTTTTTATTTGTTTTTTTTTTCTTCGTTTCCCACCGTGCCAAATTAGAATTCTTACGAGATACATGAATTCTAATTTCACAAAATGAGAAAATTGCAATCAAACACTGTAATTTAACATGCCAAAGAATTATGTTGGTAACAAAATGCAATTACACTCTACTAAATAGCTTCTCGATAATGCTTTCATGACACAAACTTTGCCTAATTATTCCCTGTATTATTTCTCTCTCTTTCAGATGTGACATAGTAGATTTGAGTGTGGAGATGGACAGAATACTGAGACCCAATGGCGTTCTTGTAGTTCAAGACACCATGGATATGATTCACAAGCTCAGTCCAATTCTGCGATCGCTTCATTGGTCAGTAGCTATACATCAAGAACAGTTCCTTGTTGGTAAGAAGGGATTTTGGCGCCCAGATGAAAAGACCAGAACATGAAGACACACACGCCTGTATAATCTTTATCCTCTTTTATTCCTTCCCATTGATGTGTAGAAATGCTAGCCATTCTTTTCAACCAATTATAGGAAAAATATTATTCTGATCTGAACCTAGTGCTAATGCTTCTATTTTTGGCCATTTACAAACATTGTGAATCTCAATGAAACAAATTTTACAATAAGATAAAAGTAAAGCTTGATTCAATTTTAGTCATCTGACTAGTATGTTTTGAGTAATGTTACTCATCCCTTTGAATATTTACTTTTTGATGTGATACTATTTGGTTGAATTTTTTCTATTTAATTGTTAAGTATATATTATTTTCTTAACTTATGGTGAGATCAGTCAATTTATAGACATTCAATAAGCCATTGACCCAACTTATCTCCACATTTCATCAAGTAGTCATGCTAGAGACATAAACAGCACGTTAGGTTCACGGAATGAATTTTGAGCTAATAGGAATGCTATTCCATAAGGAATGGAATATGTAAGGAATATAATAGGAATTGTATTCTATTGTTTGGTTCGCGGAAGTAATAGACTTTAGGAATTATATTACAGTGTTTGGTTGATTTAAGGAATAGAAATGAAATATGTTTTAAAAGACATAAATACCCTTACAAAAAAATGTGATGGTGGTGGTGGCGGCGGCGGCGGTGCGCGGTGGTGGTGGTGGTGGGGTGGTAGTGGTGATGGTGGGGGCGGCAGTGGTGGTGGTGACGATGACGGTTGTGGCAGTGGTGGTGGGGGCGGCGACGGTTGTGGCGGCAGTGGTGGTGGTTCTGTTGGTGGTGCTGAGGTGGTGGTGGCGGCGGCGGTGATGGTGGTGGTGGCGACGACAGTGGTGAAATATGATAAAATTATATATAGGATAAAAAAATTAGGTTAAAGAAAAAGGGGCAAAAAAGAAAATAGATTCTAAAATCCATTCCTAAATGTTCAGTAATAGGCTAATAACAAGGGGCCCTAGTAATAGCTATTACCTTATTTGAGGCAATAGGCTATTACCAGAAATATTATTCCTGGTAATAGAAATGGTTACCAAACAAAGAAATATGCCTATTACTGGGAATGCTATGCCATTCCCGGCCTATTCCGTGAACCAAACAGGCCAAAATAGTAATAGATAATTATGATCTTAGATCTTTTCGAATGGGGTAAGAGAATGTCTAGAATTCTTAGTTATTGTCTTTTGTTTTTTTAATTAAAGAAATAATTGGAAAATAAAACAACAAGTACAAAAATGAGTAATAACCCCAAGTAGAGACTGGTACGATTCAATTCAATATTTTGTTCGTTCGGGTTTGATTGTATCGTAGCTCTATAATTCGGATTAAAATTATAGTTGGATGAACTGCATTGCTGATAAACTTGAGAACTAAAAAAGATAATGCAATAATCAAAGGATTAAATATGATAAGAATAGTGATCAAATAAGTCATCGAATTACGTACACACGAAATTACAATTGGACTATAAAATTCAAAAAAATTATAATCAAGTCTCTAAACAAGGAAATATCATATAATTGAATTTAAAATTAGCGTGGTGGTTATCAAATTAAAAATAATTTTTAAATTTTATTTTAATAATTTTAAATATATATATTTTTAAAGACCTCTCCTTCACCCTTCCTCTCTTGGGCTGGAGATGAAAAACCAATCTTCGTCTCCAGACTTGAGATGATGGGACCTCTTCATCTCCGGCTGGAGACGAATGAAGGGGGAGGGGGTCATTTTTTCTTGCCATTTGCGTTGGTTTGCTCTCTGCTGAGGAGCAAAATCCAGTGTGAAGTAGTTGTCGGGATTCTTTTGTGTCATTTTCTCCATCCAACTCCGACAATAATGTTACACCACACATTTTTCATGTCATCAAGAAGGGTTGTCACTTGTAACTTGTTAGTTTGTTGATAAATACAGAAGTGAGAGGGTGGAGATGATGGAGTTTCCTCCTTGTATAGCAGCGAGCTGCCGATCAGAACTCGCAATAAAATCCACGCCAAACCATTATATTGAACTATACCACCCATCCGAAAACCCAGTCAATCAAAACTAACAATTAACAATATGCTGATGAATACAGATTTAGGCTCCTTAGCTTGTATGTTTTCTTTCTTCTCTGATGAATACATATTAGGCTTTGTGTCTGTTCTCTTATCGCAGAAGGGACCTCATCCTCTCAGGCCGGAGACGACGAGAGAATGGTTCTTTGTTCCGGCTGAGACGAAGGGGAAGGAGTCTTTTAATTTTTTTTTTTTAAATATTTAAAAATTATTAAAATAAAAGGAAAATTGTGAAATAAGTCATCTAATTTTACATAAAAGTGCAATTAATCCCTTAAATTTTTAAAAACTTTAATTAAACACTCTAACAATATAAATTAGATCAAATAAGTTCAATTTACTGCTAACCAACAGATTATTGGTATATAAGTCATCAGTTGAACAGAGAAAAATCAGAGATCAGCGACTGACTCTTTGAAGAAGGCGACCACTGGTCTCTAGGCGAAGGCGACCACAGTGGTCGCCTTCTGCTCGAATGAAGCTAGCGGTCTGTGACCTGCTATTGCAGGTCATTAATCAATTTTAGGGTTTCAATGCATTAAAATAGCTAGTTAGAGTGTTTAATTGCACTTTTTAAAAGTTTGAGGAGCTAATTGCACTTTTGTATAAAGTTGGAGGGGTTTATTTGATCCTTTTCTCTAAAATAATTTTTTTTTTTGAGTTAATGCCAAATGAGGTCCTCCAAGTATAATATTTTGTTACATTTAATCCTAAACTTTCAAATTGACCACTCGTGCTAGTTGTGGTGCTTTGGCTTTCAAATTGTTACTATCCGTGGTCTAAGTAATCATTTATGGTCCTTCAAATTTCAAAATTTAACCAACCCTAATTTTCTTATAAGGATCATAGCTGGTTAAAATTTGATAGTTGAAGGACCATGAATGATTAACTTGGACCACGAATGGTAATAATTTAAAAGTCAAAAGACCACTGGTGATCAATTTGAAAGTTTAGGACTAAAAGTGACAAAATGACTATACTCGAAGGACCCCAGATGGTATTAATTACTCTTATTGTTTAACTTTGTAACTACCACGTCAGTATTTTACTGTATAGATAAATCATTTTAGGTCCAATTGCATTATTTTGTGTTGTTTAGAGACTCGATTGCAATATTTTTTAGTTTAATAATCCAATTACAGTTCCATTTGTAATTCGATAACCTGCTTATTCCAATATGATATTACCCCAAAGCAAAATAATGACAACTAAATATCATAGCAAAGACCTTTTGTATTGTCATCTTAATTAGAGCATCCCCAATACGGAATTTTTCATAATTTTTGAAATAGTAACAAATTGAGCAGTTGATTTTTGTCTAATGGGGAGCATGATTTTTGCTAAAGTTTTCTCTTGCAAAAACATGATTTTTAATTTGCAGGAAAAGAAAAAAAAAAAAAAGATGGGGAATTGCACGTTTGGAGTGCACGCATGTTCCCCATGCGCCCGCCAGCTGGCGGCCACTCTGACATATTACCGTTGCTTTCCTTTTTCTTAAAAAAAAAATTGTCAGAATATTTTTTTTCCTTTTCTTTATCTCTTTCATTTTTCTCTTTCTCCTACATGACTTCCTAAAATGTTGTGTAAAAATCAAACAATTGGAGATGGTCTTAGCACTTGCCAGCAAAAACAGACGAAAAGGATCAAATGCACAAAATAGGGAATACTATAACCTTTGATTTTATTTATTGCGGTCTCAAATTGAGAATGTTAATAAGACTAAGGAGTTAAAAATTAAGAATTTATAGTTACCAAGTCAATTATTCAACTAACTATTACAATTTTTATCCAATTAATTTTAATTTTTTTGACAATTTGATAATATCACAATTTTAATCTTCTAATTCTAGTTAAAAATTATTTATAAACAACATATTAAACAATATTTTCTAAAAAAATGTTTACCAAATTATTATTTATATTATATTGTTTATAAGCGTTTTAACAAGAAGAGGCCAAAATTGTGAGATTATCGAATTGTTTTAAAGAATCAAATGTGATCATATCAATAAAGTCATTAGACTAAATGTGATCAAATTAAAAGTTGATTGCTAAATATAATAATGGCACAATAATTGTGAGAGTAAAAATGAAATTTGAAAAATTACATGAAGAAGAAAAATCAAATGATGGTGACTTTCTAACGTAACAAAGGAGTTTAACTTTAGTGGTTTCTATTTTATGAGTGGTTTTTTTGGTACCATGATTTGTTTGTGTTTGAAAGGTACATTGGACATTAAAACAAAGTTGTAGGTCAATTATTTTGGAAAAAACTCTATCAATATTTATTGCTTCATATTTCAAAAAAAAAAAAAAAAAAAAGAAGATTTTTTCACTTTATAGAGTCCTAGTTTTATCTCATAGTAATCTTAATGAATTTTTTTTTTTTCCCACAAATTTCCATAAGATTTTGATGTTTTAGAAGATAGAGGAATGAGAGAGAGCTTTTGAGTTTTACAGAAAGAGTTTTGTTTTTGTCAGGAAATATTGAGGAAAAGAAAGGCGGAGCATATTGTGCTCAAATGACATGTAGTCACCTCTCTCATATTATGAGATCGAGGTTATGAGATCTAGCCTCAGTGGAGGCATTGTTGACTCTTTGTGCTTCATTAAGTTGAGAAAGTATGTTTGAACAGATACTACAATGTAATACAGTCAGTGGAAAAAGAAAGAAACGTCACCCGTCTAGCCAACTTGCATGCCTAGTGGGTGATTGCATTTCACCCGCCCATTGAGTACGTTAGAGTGATTGTCATTTGGTGTCAACTCTGATTTTTGTTTTTTGTTTTTATAATTATTTTTTATTAATTTTGAATCTTTATTTTTTGTTTTTATAATTATTTTTTTTATTAATTTTGAATCTTAAATGTCTACATGTGAATCGACGAATTTTATCCAGCATTAAACACAAACACACACACACAAAATTCTTTTTTTTTTTCTTTTTTTGAAAATCAAAACCACCAAGAAACTTCAAATATTTCGTAAGTCATTACAATTAGCACGAAAAATAAAAGAAAGGCCGGTATCAAATCAAAACCGACTATCTCCCGTCAGAGCAGCGTCTCTAGCTAACAAGAGCTAAGACTACTCTTTTAAATAAACACTTTAT